TCCAAAAGATAGTTCATAGACACAATATGATTGCAGATCAGAAGCATTGCAGAAAAAAATCTATCAAAGTAGACAAAATCCAATTGTGAAATATTTCCGTTGTGTGTAAGATGACTTCATCTATACAAATATTTTGAAATCTGTGAAATTCAATTAAAAAAAGAATCAGAAAAAATGTTTTTAAAAGACATCTTTCAAAATTTGGTGTACATTTTTGATTAAAATTTTCACACTGTCAGCCAAGAATTTTACAATCCAATTCACACTTGTACATAACTTCCCAAAAAACATCTTTGTCTATTTTTGAATACAATAGTTGTTTTCTCATGCATGCGGTGCAAGAGAGAGAGAGAGAGAGAGAGAGAGATTAATTCACTCTCTTTAAAAGCATGATTTGTTCTTTTCTTTCATTACCTTACTTTCTTTCCCTCTCTCACTTCAATATGACTCACTTCTCTCTCTCTCTCTCATTATTACTCTTTATTTCTCCCAAATGACTTTGTTCTCTTTCTCACTCTCTCCCACACTTATTCCTCTCTCCCACACAATATTAATGTTCTAATGTCACTTCTTTCTCAACCTTACCTTCTCTCTGATTTCCCTTCTTTCTCCTCCTCTTCCTTCCTTTGTCTCTTTTTGCTCTATCCTCTTTTGCCTTTTTTTTCTCTTTCTCCTCAATACGTTCTTCTCACTTCCTCCTCTTTATTTTCATCTCTCTCCTTCTTTCCCTTTTTTCTCTCTCCCTTAAGTTCTTTTTTCTCCTCTCTCATCATAAACTATAAAGCCAACACTGATTTCACCCCTTCTTCGATATGCTGTTTCCCTTCAGGATGTGGGCAATTACGGCTCTCCATAACTTCCTTTTCTTTGTAGTCTTTAGTAAAATTAGTCTTTTTGTTATAACTAATCCCTGTTCTGCTAGTAAATTACACAAGCTCATTATGTGGGTTATGCACTGCTTTCCTAAGTCCCTGTTGCCTTCACTATGTCCTGTGAGTATCAGATTTTCCAAGCCCTCTTTCCTTATGTGCCCTAGAAATTTCAATTGTCTCTTTTTGATGCTACGTATATGTATCCTTTTAGTTCGTAGTTCTTCTAAAACTTTCTCACATTTCAGTTAATGGTATTCTCATCATCCTTCTGCAGAACCGCATATCTGTTACTTCAAGTCTCTTCATTTGTGTTGAGATTATACCACATTCACTTTTATACAGAAGGACTGATATTACATAACAGTTCTGTACAGTTTCTATAAAGAATAAATTTTCTCCTTTTTTTTCTCAAGTCTTTTCTCCATCTTTGAGGAGATTGTCCAGCATTCACTGCAATATGAGAGAGCTAATATTACATATCAGTTAGGTACTCTTTCCTTTCATTCTAATGAAATTTTCCTGTTTCTTAATACTTTGCTTACCTTTTGGATGGCATCTTTAACCATCCCAATGTGCCTTTGAATTTCAGTGTCACATTTTCCATCCTGCCTTTAAAAAAAATAGATAAAACTCAAGGGGAGATAACCTCAAGAAAGAGCAAAGACAAGGGGAGATAATCTTGAAAAAATTACTAATTTGTTTACATGACACCATACAAGGCTACCAGCACACACACCATCCCTTGGAAGCTAGAAAGCAATAGGCACCACTCTCGCATTGCACCAAAGCAGGTTTTGTCAGAGGTATGACATGATTTCTCCAGTATTTTTGGATGGCACATTGCGTTTATTGACTATCTTCAATAGGGCTACACTATCAATGTCAACTTTTTCAGGCTGTTACGAAAGGCTATCAAGACCAAACACCTAGGAAAACTGATGAAAGGGGTCTTGTTTCATCAGAACAATTCTGCAGCATACTAATCTTTGGTTTCAATGTCTGCTGTGCATGACTGTGGCTTTCAGCTGGCTGATCACCCTCTATATTCTCCTTATTTGACTATCATCTGTTCCCCAACATGAAAAAAACACTTGGCTGGAAACCAATATCACAATGATGAGGATGTTATATCTGCTGGTGATGACTTTTAAGCAGCAGGATGAAAGTTTCTTCATCAATGGAATCCAAGCACCGTAACACCAATGGAAGATGTGTGTTGACCGCAATTGGGGGGGGGTGCTATGTTAAAAAATAAATCTCATTTGGTCACATTCCATGATAATGCCTTGTTTAGCCAATGAACTTTTCAGCCAACTCTCAATTACATCTCTACATCCTAATTAGGGTCCCAGCTATGGAGAAATAGTTAACACCCAAACTTGGGTCAAAACACTATGAAAGTATAAAAACAGTTTTTATAGTAAAAATACCAGCAATATATTTTTCAAAAAAAAAATATTACCAGCAATACATTTGACTCTCAACAAAAACCATCTTTACAAAATTACGTCAATGAAACCTGATATAAAAACTGACCATCTTGGGTATGACGACAAACTACATTTGACAGTAAGGCCTCTGATCAGGAGGTTTTGAGGTGTGTGGAACCACCTCTTAATCGCTGGTGTTCCCAGGTCCACTCTGACCCAAGATAGTAGCATCTGTTAGGGTCCCAGTTATGGGCAAATAGTTAACCCCCAGACTGGTGTCAAGATACTATGATAGTGTAAAGATATGTTTTAGAACTAGCAATGAATTTTCGAAGGAAATAAATATCACCAGCAATATATTTGGGGGGGAAAATATTACCAGCAATAAAAATCTCGTCGGCATTAAATAACCCATTGAGGTTGATATCCCATAAATCAAACCAAACCAAACCAAACCAAATTCTCTGATAAACTGAATTTCTGGGAAAAGGTGTTATCATTATTTACTAGAGTTAGGTTTGAACTATTGTACTCACCTTGGTGGTTGTTACCAAAATTATTTCAGCCACAAAAGCCCTCCAATTTTCTTCAGGAATTTATCAATCTGAGTAATCTTAATTTTTCTGTTGTGAAGTGTCAGAATAAACGTCTCTTATTTGACTGATTTTCTCATTAACAGACAAACTATATATTCTATCATTCAGTTTATTAAGTAAATATTCTACATAAATAACCTAACAAACTTTTTGTTAAACCAATATATATGATTTGTATATTCCTTTTCTTATGTATATAAGAGTGTTCTGTTTTAAAAGAGCTTCTTAATATATATAAAAATAACATTTTTTATAATTATATATCCATTTCAGTGTAACTTTCAAAATAGGTATTCAATATCCTTGGATGCCCTGAACTCTCCAGGTCTTTTTTTATTTTTCAAAAGGAAAAAGATAGATTATATATATATATATATATATATATATATATATATAAAGGCAAGATTTATTTCAATATCACTAGAATTTCTTTACTTAAATTCTAAATTCTTGAACCATTAAATGATTTTTTCCAATTCCTTCTTTTATTAACAATCCCATCTCTGCTTATTGCATGTTGAGAAAAATTCCAATCTGGTTGTATTCGGCACTTAAGGGTATTCTTTGCTAAATAAAATGTTAACATCTTCAGTTTTCTTTCCAATTTTATCAAAACTAAATTATCCTCCTCATCTTTCTCCTTTTTTTTTTTTTCATTTAATCTTACTTTTCCCTGTTTTTTATTCCCTATCTCAGTTCCCCCCCTACCCGCCGCCCTGCACCTTCGTTCTTTTTCTAAATGTTCCAAATAATCATTGCATAATTCAACTGACACCACCTGCAACCCACAGAATAGAAGCCTTAGAAAAATCGTTAAATTGTCAACCAGTACAGCTCACTATATTGAACACAATATTGCCATGATGTTAAAGTGTCCAGAGAGGAGGAGGATGCCTGCTGTAATACTGAAAAGCTTTGATGAGAGATTTCTGAAGATGTGGGGTGGGGGATGATTTAGGAATCTGTTGTGCTTTCAAATATGGTTGCGAATCCTGGACAATATATCCGCATCAGATATCTTGAGAGATTTCATCAGGCAAAACTGCAATCAATCTTGTGTAAAAATGAGAATGTCACAAATAATGAAGTCCTGGCAAGAAGAGAATCAATGAAAATCCAAACAATCCCTCAAAGACATCGGCTCTGAAGATTAGGACGTGTAAAAAAAGGATGACAGATGATTTGATGAAGTGGCATAATAGTGAAATAACTGAAATATTAGTAGTACTGCAATATTATCAGCCATAGTATTCACATTGGGGGTAGTGTTGGGGAATGCTTTTTTGTTTTCTTTTACAGTAAGGTTCACTCTTTACAAAGCCTGAGGGGACAATTGAGGTAGGGAGTTAAGAGGTAATTTGTTTGTATAAAAGGGGAAGATAATGGTTAACACTAGCCTTGAACAAGTTAAGATAGTAGTGATCAGGGAAACATCCACTTGGGAGTTTGCTCCACAGAGCAGTGGTTTGCAGGAAGAAGCTGTTCAAGTGGAACCTCTCATCGATGGAATACAGAGGGAATGTGGATAGTTTGATACATTATAAATGACATGGCAGGTTCTAGCTATGAAAGTTGGAACCAAGGAATAAAGTTCATCCGAGCACTTTCCATGGAATTAACAACAGAGCAGTGAGACGTTTGTCACATCCCGTCTGTGGGAAGAGAAGGTGGAAAATAATTTGTCACCCACAAGGACTCTGAGATGCTTTTGAACTCTGCCAACACTAGAGAGTCAAGTTTGGCCAGCTCCCACCAAAATATGACAACAATGCTCCATTTTTGGCCTGATCTGGCTCTTGTAAAGGTAGATGATAGCAGGAGGAGTCAGGTGCTTACTGGAGTGGTACAGGGAGCCAACCATTTTATCTGCATCCTTAGCAATGGATTGTATGTAAGATTTTCACTTCAGGTCAGGTGCAAGTTTCAGGCCCAATAATCTTTCAAAGGCACAGTGCATCCCTGAAGGCACATCCATTCATCCTAATTGGTGGTAGTTCAGGGTTCAATCGATGATGTTGGAATGTAACTAGCTTGGTCTTGTTATACAAGAAAGAATATTCCCAGTTTCCAGTTTCCATTATAGGCATTAATATATCCACAGCTTATGGCCATATCATATTGAAATACCAGTTCTCATTCAATCACCAAAGTTAAGCAATGCGAAGCCTGGTCAGTACATAGATTGGTAACCACTCAGGAATACCAGGTGCTTTAAGCTTAGCTGTGCAGGTGGTGTAAGGGATAACTGCTCGGAAGTGGAAATCAGAGAGCCAAGTTCCAATTCCAGTTGGGTTCATTATATTCACAAATACCGTTGGGAGACGTATGACTCTACTTCTTAGTTATGGGTTAAATAGTAGAATATTTATTGGTAAATCATTATTATCTCAATAAAAGTTTTTTACAATCTAAAAATATATTTTCTGACTTTAAATAACCTTCAAAGTTTTGTAAGCCATAAAAAAAAAAAAAACTTTATCAAAATAATATATCCATTTTCTCAACCAAAAGAGGGATAATCACAAATTTGTGGGTCTGATGAATTGGATCCAATGTAATAAATTATAACCATGGAATATTAGTGTTTAAGCCTTTTTTTTATATATATATATATATCTCATAGAACAGAAATTCAAATTTACCTCATTTGAATAGCTATTTCAACAAACAAGTCCTGTGTTTGCATTGTCAACTCAGAACTTCTGAGTTGACAATGCAAACATAGGACTTGTTATAATAAATACATTGAACTCTTTTTGTGGATCAGGATTCACTTGGATTACATACCAATGGATTATTGCTTATTATTTCCTTTAGAAGAAACTGTCATTAGATCTGACATGCTTTGACCTCTCGGCTACAGAGTGCACTGATGATCAAGCAAAGCTAAATAGATTTTTCCCTATATCTGCTCAGTTGAGTATCATAACATAATTTGTAAAAAAAGCAATGAATTTTTTAATTATTAATCCAACAGATTTTTATTAAATGTTATTTTTAGTGTATACACATATTCAAGTAGACTTTCATTTATTTATCCAAGGAAAGTATATAATCCTGCCAGAGAGGACATATTTTACTGAGATTTTTCAAATATTCAGGCCAGTAGACAAAAATAAATAAATATACTGTTTAATAAATGAAGAGTAAGCGTTCTCAAAGCAAATCTGTTACTTTCACAACACAAAGAAAGAAAATCACTTGTAACGCGTCAGGAAAATAACTCACTAACGCCGTAGCCAAAAATGCCCGAATTTTCCTTCCGAGGTACTTGATTATCTCGTTCACTACAATAAATAAACAAAGCATCTACTCAAATATTAGTATCCACTAAAAATAATTTTCAAGTAATAAATATATATCTGTGAATGACTACTCTCGTTCACCACTATGAGGAAAGGGAATTTTTAATGGCTGCTGCTGCAACCAGTATAGCATTTATATACATTACATATATAATTCGTTAAAAATTCCTTTTCTTTGCCATGCGCCGATAGCCTAGGGGTAAGGGTCTCTAACTGATGTCAAATCAGTCAAGTTTCGATCCTGGCTTGAAGTAATTGGATGTCTAGTCCCACTGATGCGTTGTGATACAGCAAAACAGTCCGTCTGTGGATGAGTACTACATATATATATATATATATATATATATATATATATATATGAAGAAAAATATACAGAAAAACAAACAAAAATCCTAATATGCAATTATGCTGTTTTAATGTTAATATAATGTCAACGTCGGACGTTTCGATCTAATAGACCATCTTCAGGACATATTCATAAAACATTCCAACGTTGACATTATATTAACATTAATACAGCATAATTGCATATTAGGATTTTTGTTTGTTTTTCCGTATATTTTTTTCTTCATACTGTTGGATCTATATCCATATATTTATATATATATATATATATATATATATATATATATATAATGCATATGCGAGTGGGCATTGAGGTCAGCACCCAGTGGTGACAGTCTTTGATGCTTAAGCACAATGTTCAGGCTCTGTGTGTTGTATTTTGGCATGCCTATTTATATATGCTGGTCAGTGGTGCATTATGGGTAGGTCTATTGTATTATTCTAACAGTTATTGGGTGAGCAGTAACAGTTCTGTTTGAAATTATTCCAGGAATAATTGAGTAGAAATAATTATAGGTTCAAATAGTTTTGTGGCTATTTTATAGTGTCGGCTTTTACTCATCGTTTATTATTGATTACTTTATTATTTGTTGTTTATTATTACATTTACTTGTGTTTATGTGTGCATTCATAGCTTTTTAATTTGTTTATTATTTAATTGTTTACTTATTTATTGATTTGGATTATTTTATTTTACTCACTGATTTTTATTTAGGCCTACCCAGAATGCACAATAGACCAGCATATATAAATAGTCAAGCCAAAACAGAATATAAATGGCTTGAAGATTATGTTTAAGAATGAAACACTGTTGCCACTGTTTTGACCACAATGTCAATTTTATATTTACATGCTCCCTATCTCTGATATTGAACACCTATAAATATAGATATATTAACCTATAAATATAGCATAGCTTAAAACTATATTTTATATTATATATATATATATATATATATATATATATATATATATATATGTGTGTGTGTGTGTGTATATATATATATATATATATATATATATATATATATGGGGGAACAACATTTTCTTATTTATTCAGCTTTAGTTGAAGACTGATGAAAATTATTTTTTTTTTATTTTTTCTTCAATTCAAACAATTTTTCTGGGTTTCATGTACATTTTGTACATAAATTCTCAAAAGACCTCTGGCCTTTATAAATCATTATCAAATAATTTGTTTATCGGTTAATAAGTGTTTAAAAGTTGCTCTTATTCAACTTTATACAATTTTTGTGAATAATTAAGACTTTATTTATGCATTGTGTTTCTTTGGTGCTTTTGAAATATTGTGCCTTCATGCTTGAGAGATGTTTTAGGTGTCATCATTTTATGTTACTGTGTGGTATCTTGACATTTTTTTGGCATTTACTTTGAGTTATCTCCCTTTATTATAGTTATTTCCCTTTGTTTACCCTCATATTTCTGTTGCTTCCTTCATTATCATTAATTTACTATTTTTATTTATTATGTTATTCTCCTTGGTCCACAAAGCCTGAAACTTGGTGATGGTTAGTGATGTATCATTCAATGGGGCTATTATTGTGTAAATGCCAAGTTAATCAATAAGGTAATGTAGTTATTGTGTAACCAATGTGTGCCTTTAAAGTTTTATTATTATAAGTGAGAGATATTCCAAAAAAGTATGTGAATTTGTAAGCATTGTGCATTATTGATGGCAATCATCTTAGCCACTTTTGTTTTCTTTTTTTCTAAGTGATAAGAACTTAATTTGTCAGTATCTAGTTTGTACTTATTCAGAAGTTTCTCAGACACATAATGAGGAAGCAGGGCCTGGAGAATTTGAAACTCACGGGTCGAATAGAAGGGAAAGAGAGACAAGGGAAAACATGTGACATATCTGGCGGACTTAAGCAAGTGAATGACAGAAAGTGGTCTGGGGGAGAAAGCATAGGGAAGGAACTTGTTGAGAACTGCAAGGGATGGAGGGGTGTGGAGAGCCATGATCACCTACATCCTGAAAGGACATGAGACAAAAACTAAAAGAAAAGTGTAATAATAAGCATAATATAATAAATACCTCTTTTATTGTTGTTTTTGGAGAATAATTTAATAGTGTCTTTATATTATTGTTATTTTTAATTTTCTATTTTTTTTTTCTAAGGTTTAATTTGTTCATCTATTTTAGAATATATTAAATAAATTCTTTATATCAGACGGATTATTGAATAGTAAACAATCCTATGTAATGCGTCTTATGAAACTACTGTTAATTAATGTTTGTTTTATATTTTTACATGATAAAATATTGTTTTTGTGTTTAGAGAATATTAAATACGATTTTCTTTTATTAAATTTTCTTTTATGTCAATTTTGTATCTCTGTGAAAATTATAGTTAAGTAGACATTGAGTTTATGAAGGTTTCAAAGTTATTATTTGACTCAATTAATTCGTCTCAAAAGCAACACCAGGAGATTGTGCAAATATATTTTCCTAAGTGGTTGTTGATCTGGCACTATCAGAATTCTATGTTAGCTTTAGAAAAAGAAAAAAAATAAACTCATTAAACTGACAATTTACTATTGCTAACTTGATGTTATAAATATTTTTAATCATTTCACACCAAGCAACACAATAAAAATGACTAGGATGCAAAAGCAAAGAGTTACTGAGAGTAAAATAAGCAGAAAGGACAACAAAATAACAGGTTTCAAGGAGAAAGAAGATTATGATTGACATCGCATTTAAATTTTTAATGAAAAAAGTTGACTGGAAAGCAAGAAGCCAGAAGAGAGTTCCACAAGCAAGAAGTGCGATAGAAGAAACTGTTAAAGAGATAGATATTGCAAGTATAGATGTGCAATAATACTTCTTCACCTAATTATACCTTTAAATATACATTAAGCTTTCTTCATATATAGTCACATCCGGATCATCTTGTGTACATAGATTGATACACACACATACACACACACACACACACACATATATATATATATATATATATATATATATATATATATATATATATATATATATATATATGTTTTAAGGTGTGCTATATTTATGGGATAAAGTACTCAATACCAGAGATAGAGCGTATGTAAATATAAAAGTGAACATTGAAGTCAACACTCAGAGGCGACAGGCTGTTTCATGCTAGACACAATCATCAGGCTGCCTGATGATTGCATTCAGCATGAAACAGGCTGTCACCTCTGAGTGTTGACTTTAATGTTCACTTTTATTATATATATATATGTATTGTGCGAAAGAATATGAGAAAAAGCACTACTAAAGTGAGAGGATAATAAAAGAGCAAGGATTAAGAAGTCAGGCAATTTTTAAAGATCAAAGTTGACAGGAAAGTAGGAAGCCAGAAGAGAGTTCCACAAGCAAGAAGTGCAATAGATGGAACTGTAGGCATAGAACTTATGGTTACATTCTGCCATAACAACTTTAAAATGATGAGATTTTGCCACCAATCTAGTACTGCACGAAACCTTATTGAGCAGGGAGCGGACAATAAATGAGACAGGACTCGAGAAAATATTATTGTAAAAAAAATAACAAAGATGATG